GAGGAGTGGCTGGTGGGTTTGAACCGCCAGCCTTCTGGTTAGCAGTCAAGTGCCTTAGGCACTGTGCTACCAGAGCTCCAATATGCCTATAGATACACCTATACCTACATGCGATGGACTCACATATGCCTTCCTATGGACATTTATGTGTTCACTTCTACCTATATCAGGAACATGTTTTGGTTGTTACAAAACTGAATATATTCTGTAGCATTTACTGAAGTTGTCCCTTTTTCTTGTTCTCTGCCTTGTTTTGATGCTTAAAGTAGGTCAGGGGGCAGATAGCTTAGGTGACAAGGGGCGTAAGCTAGATGACCTTTAAGAACATCTTTGCTCAAGTATTCAGGATTTGTGCTCTGAGGGAAGAACCTTGGCTACTTCTGGAGACTCTCTTAACCCTGACCACAAACCTCAGTGTGGTTTAATCTGAACATGAGTCATCCAAGTTTTGTTATCTACTAGCTACAGTAGAGCTCTGGTGGTGTAGTACCTAAGAAACTTGACTGCTAACCAGAAGGCTGGAAGTTCAAACCCACCAGCCACTCCTCAAAAGGAAGACTGGGCAATCTACTTCCTTGGTGATACTGCCTTGGAAACCCAAGGAGGGGTCGCTACGAGTTAGGTCTGACTCAATAGCAGTGAGTTTTTAGAGTTTTTAGGTACAGCAGGCACAGAGTCTGTGCTGCAAAGAGGTTTCATGTGATTTTCTTTCCTTCCTAATAGCCAAAAAAGCTACCGTGAATTTACTGGGTGAAGAAAAGAAGAGCACCTAAATGAATGACTGGATGACACTTTTCTGCCCTCTCCATACCTTCCTGTTGTAGCCTGATGTTATATTAGGGATTGTGGTATAGTCATTTTAATAATGTTGCCTTGGAAACATTTTTGATACATTAAAAAAGGAATGTGGGGTTTTTCTTTATTTTTACTATGTATGGAAGGAACATTTTAATTTAAATTTAATGCAGTGGGCAGTGTCCAAATTTTCAGAAAATTTATTTTGTCTCTAGATGGAGAAAGTTATATGTTATTGTCCTGCAGGAAATAAAAATTTAAAGTAAAATTATTTATCTCATGGGCTCTATATATCATTGAGCTCTCTGCATGCATTTTTCCCTATACTTCATGTAATGTACAATTTTGTATCATTCTTAAAAAATGTTTTAAAGGTATTTGTGCATATATGTATGTATGTATACACAAACAAACACACACAGAGAAAGAGATATGTGACTGTCTAACATGTTTCATGGGGAGGTAGGGCAGGGGAGGTTACATATACCATTTATAACTTCCATTCAGTAAGATCACTTGTCGAAAGCTGAAGGTACTGGTGTGGTCTGCTAAATAATATTTCAGAAAATTAATACTAATGGGTAATATTTCAAATGAACAGAGTTAATTGAAAATGAGGTTGAATAGTAGTTGGCCTGATTGCTTTCCTAACACTTGAGCAGCTGAATTACCACCAGGGCAGCTTTGTAAAGCAGTTAGTCATAAACGGGGAAATTTATACATGTATTAGTAATCTATAGCTCCCAATTCCCTATAGAACTAGTAATACTGTCTTGTGGCCTTTTAAAAAATGTGTTTATGAGCTTTAGATATGTTTTTTTCATAAACTGTTAAAATGGAAACCACCCTTGGTTTCACCATAAAGCTAAGTAACATATTGGTTTGGTCTTGTTTCTTTCCAAATCTTAACTCTTTTTTTCTTTTTTAATTTTCACCAGTTTAAGGAACCTCCAAAGACATGCCCAACTCTAGTTAAATGTATGTTCTTGTTTATATTATTAGCAAAAATAACATGCTAATGATGATATCTAGCTCTAAGAGCAATTTTGGGAGAATGAAAGGAAGTGGACAGAACCAATAATCTTGTTGGCAGTGGTCATGTCATGCTACCTTCATCTCCTTTCTCTGGGGCCTTCAATGATTTTAAGGTCAGTAACAAGAAGCTTCCCTAGCTTACAAGTCAGAATTGTTAATAATCCATTTAAATGCCTTCATCTTTATTCTGTTTTGAGAAATTGTGTATAACTACATAGTTTAGTACAGAGGAAAAAAATTAATGCCTCCAACTTGATCAGCCAAATAGCTTATATGGGTTTTGACAGCTTGTTTGGACTAGAAAAACTGAGCTTTACATCAATAATGTTAAGATCCTTCTGAATTAGACTACAAGAAGAACATAACAAAATTAACAAGATTAAATATTCAGCCAGTAAAATCTTTTATAAGGCAAATAAAAATGATTATTTCTTAAGATAGCAATAAGATACGATCCTAAGGATGTCTCATGATGTAAAAATTATTGAAGATATCAAAAATAGGGGATAAAATCTCTAAAATATTATAATAATATGGATCATGTCATATTAATAATGTGTCAATCAAAGGTGTCTTATTAGACTTACCTTAAAAAAAAGTTTTTAAGGAAAAAAGTTTAGAAAGCAAACAATTAGTTGTTACTGGGAAAAAAAATCAAGCCATATATATGTAACACATATGTACATCTCAATATTTAAATTTATTTTGCATAAGTAACAGTATATTTTTCTTGATGGCAGAGGAATGAAAAGTAGAAAATTCTAGCATACACATGAGGTCGCCATGAGCTGGAATGCACTGGATGGCAACTAGCAACAAGAAGCATGCAGAATCACAGGGTATACAACTAGTATACAGAATATATAATCAGACAAAGTAAGAGGCCTAAAAGTTGCTAATGAGTGCTTGTAGGCTAGTGTCAGTTTAAAAATTATTAATAAAACATATTCCAAATGTAAATGTTTTTGTCCTCTTGACAATTCAACTTTTTCCTTAGTGCACTTTGCAAGAAACTTAAGTCACAGTTTTTAGCAGCTGAAGTGTTCATATTAATGGTAGAAATTATGAGTTTAGCAATTGTCTCAGTTTAGGTTTCCCAAATAAAAAATGCCCAGGGCTATAATATTTGAAAAACTAATTTTGTGCCTGTATGTAGCTAGAAGACAACCTTTTTATTTGTATGTGAATGGTATTTTGGTAGTATGTGAAGCTGTAAAATTCCTGGTTGACATTTGAAATTATTCAAAATAAAGACTCCTGCAGCAATTCTTCCCTTACTTGAAAGCTTCAATCATCATTCAGATCAACAAAGTTACTGCTACTCTGGGGAACGTCTTCTACGCACAGCCTGAAGAAAATAAGCATAGCCTTTAGATAAGTTATCACCTATCCTGTAGATGTGATGTACTGAATGGAAATAACTATAAATAAAATTCAATTATTTCATTTCACTGTTATTTCATTTTATCTTGTGGGAGTTTCTTGTTTTTTTAACCCAGAAGTATTTAAGTAAAATCTTAGGTAAATACACAGGAATGAAAATTAAACACTGCTATTTATTAATGCCATTCCTCACTGGCCTGTTATTTTCCATTGGTGGTTACTGCCTAACAGAGGAAAAAACACTCCCTAAAGAAAACATCCCAAAGCACCCCAAAAAAGAAAATATCTACCATCATCACCACTAGATTTGAAGGAAATATAAACTACTGCTTACTATATGCATACTGCACTACATGCTAAAGTCTTAGGACATAAGCTAATGTATATTTTGACATTGTAAAACTTGTGCATTCCTTTATTCTGTATTGTTTTAGAAATAGGCCAAGAAAAGAACTTGAGAATTTTATTAAAAACACGTACGTTCAGAGAGTATGCTTGGTTCACCCCAGTCTCCAGCAGCTGCTTTTATATGTCTCTGTGTGTAGAATCATAGTGTTTAGAATAACACAGGTACAATTCAGATCCTTAGCCATCAATTATTATAGTACTTTTAGCATGGCAGGAAAGTAAATAATTTGAGAAGCATAAAAGATTAAGATCCTGGCTTCTTACTACAATACTAGCTTATAAAATCTTTTATAGTATGTATTTCATAAGGGCACCAATTCAGGGAAACAAGGAGAGAGTCTTTGGTTAGATCATTGGTTCTCAAACATTAGCGTACATCAGAATTTCTTGGAGGGAGGGCTTGTTAAAATGCTTTCTGGGCTGTATCCCCACAGTTTCTGATTCCAACGAGTTTCCAGGTGATGTTGAAGGGTCAGAAACCACACTTTAACAGAAAACCTCTGGGTTAAGTAAATACTATCTTTATATTTTGTTCACAGAGGTTTTCAAACCTGGTACATGCTAGAATCACTGAAGATTTCTAAAAATACTGGTATCTGTCTCTGTATCAGAAATTCTGATTTAATTGGTCTGCTGTGGTAGTTTGGTACCAGTATTATTTAAAGCTCTTAGAGTGATTCTGAAAACAGCCAGGGTTGAGAACCACTAGTAGAGTACTAATGAGGCCAAGAATTCCAAGGTCAGGAGGGTTTGTTTTAGTTAGCTAGTTTACTTGGTGTTATCAGTGTCCTATTGCTGCTGTAACAGATTACCACAAATTTATAATTTTATAGTTCTGGAGCTCAGAACTCCAAAATGAACTGTGAGGGTTGTGTTGCTTCTGGAGGCTGTAGGGGAGAATCCATTTCCTTGTAGTTTCCACCTTCCAGAGGCTGTTCACATTCTTTGGTTCATGACCCCCTAGTGACTGAACTGCTTCTCTCCTTCTCTGACTCTGGTCCTCCTGCTTCCCTCTTATAAAGACCCTTGTGATTACAATGGGCCTTCCTGGATAATCTAGGATCCTCCCATCTCAAGACTCTTAATTATATCTGTAAAGTTCTTTGGCCATGTAGGATAACATTCATAGGTTTCTGGGATTGGGATGCTGGAGGAGGGGGACACCCTTGGTGGTACAGTTAACATACCAATAGTTTGAGTCCACCCAGAGGCACTTTGGAAGGAAAGTCTTGGTTATCTATTTCAGAAACCATTGAAAACCCAATAGAGCACATTTCTCCTGACACATGGGGTCTGCAGGAGTTGGAATCAACTCGACAGTGATTGGTTTTACAATTCTATCTACCATACCTGATCTCTCTTTAGGTACAGAAGTCTCATGATAAAGTCACTCCCAATATCAAGAAAAAACTATGAAGAGCACATCTTAATGTTTGGAGGGAACTAATAAAAGGAAGATGTGAAAAGCACCCTATCCCTAGCCAGGTGAAAGAATGGAGGCCTATCCTATGGAAATAGTAAGAGGGTCTATGGAATGGGGAACACTGTATTAAAAACAAAAAATTGAATGAACATATACAAACTGAAAGTTTCTTCTCACCCCACCTCTACCACTAGGCTCCCAGAACACTGCCAGGCAGACCTTAGCAAGTTGAACAGCCTAAGATAAAACACCTGTGATGCTAGAAAGTCTCTAAACTTCTAATTATTTTTCTGATCTTATGCTTTCTTAAATATGAACAGAAAACCAAAAATCTGAGGAAAATCTCTTAACATGACAGGGGCAAAATAAAAATGGGAGAAAGGAACTTGGAAACAAAGATTTTAAGTATTTACCCTCAGATAAATAAACTGCAACCATGAAATAAAGATCCAAAACTCACTGCCATCAAGTCATTTCTAACTCACAGCGACCCACACAAGGTTTCCTAGGCAGTAAATCTTTATGGAAGCAGATTGCCTCATCTTTCTTCCATGGAACAGCTGGTGAGTTCAAACCATCGAACTTTTGGTTAACAGCCTAAATGCCTTAAACCACTACACCACCAGAACTCTTTGAAATAAGGATAGAATCTAGAAAAATGAAACATTCTGATGAAGAAAAGGTTTAGAGAAGTTTAAAAGATGATGAAATTTTTAATATAAAGGGTGGAAGATAAAGCTGAGAAAAATCTTTGAAGTAGAGCAAAAAGGCAAATAAATGTAAATAAACAGAGAAAAAAGGTAAGATTTGAGGACTACTGCAGCAGGTCCAACACCCAAATAAGGAGTTCCAAGAAAGATCAGAA